AAAAAAAAAAAAAAAAAAAAAATCCTATTAAACTACATTCAATTTTTTTAAAAGATTGGGCATATTTTTATCTCAAGAAAATTTCTCAGTGTTTTCTCCTACAACTCAGTGTCTTTTTTCAAATAAATCAGGTCAAAGCAAAAAAAGAACAACAAAATAAAAACAAACCACTAGTTTTATTGTGAGAAATTACTTGCAAATGTAGTAACAAAAAGCACTGACTTAGCTCTAATGTCTTCATGCTAATTTCGCTGCAAACTTAACTTTCTAAGACATCAATCGTGAGGTAATCCATCTATATATCCAACTTACCTTTCAATGGCTTCAACATGGAGGCAAAACAAGTCTCTCTTGTAATCAAGACTCTTGGGAGTGCATTTATATATGTAGCCAAGATTGAGTGAACACCCTGTGCAGTACAAAGTCTCAAGAACGCTGCAATAAAGAAATGTCATTTCTTTAGGAAACAAAGTAGCAACGCATTATAAGAAAAATTTCATTGTTAAATCCATAAACACGTTTCTAAATTGTTATTCAGACCATATTAAGTCATATGTATAAGATAGCAAAAAATGACAGTAAGATATTTACAATGCAACTGTAAAGGCAGACATCTCCAGGTCACAATGCCTTAAGATCAAATAACAAGGGACATATACAAAAGGACAAGAAAAGAGGATACATAGGTGGTGTTTTTCTAGACTAGAAACTCCTCAATCTGGTATTCGGAAAAATTATCTAAAATTTGGAAATAAGACAAAAAAATTCTACACGGCTATTTAATGTCATGTTGTCCAACAAGCCCACACAGGGTCATTAACACTCAAGAACAGGGATAGGCAGTATTTGTGTAATTAAATGCTACAAACAAGAGAATTAATATTTTTTGGCTTGTAGACCATACGGTGTCCGTCCAAACTATACACGTCTGCCACTGTAACATGGAAGCAGCTATAGACAACACATAACTGAATAATCTGTGATCCAATAAAAAAATGTTTTCACAGACTGGGGGTCCAGTCCACAGGCCATAGTTTCCCAAGGTCTGCTCTAGTGGAAGGTTTGCTTACTAGAAAAACACTCTCTAAAGTTGGAGCAACTTGGAGAAAGAGGATGGATCACTATTTTTCCATATAACATATTTTCCTTGTAAATCTGGATGTTAGGCTCCTTCATTCTAGTTACTTTCTAACTCAGTTCCACATGTGTGAATATACCCTCCCCATGCCTAGTCGTGTCTTCTTTAGGTCTAGCTTGGAATCCAGCGCCTTCCAAAAGCCTTGTTGAACAGACCCATCCAAATTTACTATCCCACAACTATACTAAAATCACAGTTCCAGTGCATAGCAAATTGATGATAACTGGAGATTTTTCTTTTTTTAAGGGTGTGGGGTACAATTCAGGATTAGGTAGGTAAGTGGTCATCATACAGGTAAAGTTTGGGACTTACTTTCGTCCCCACTTTGCCTGGTTTGCGATCCAGTACCCTTATTGATGATATGTACCCACCCACCTGCCCCCGCTCCCCAGGCAGTTTCCAGCTACTGCCAATCCCTTTCTTATAGCATTATGACAAATGTTCAGGGTCCGCTCATGAGTGAGAACATGTGGTACTCAGTTCTTTGTTTCTGTGAAAGATCACTGAGTATTATAGACTCTAAATTTATCCAAGTTGCTGCAAAGTCCATAGTTTTCTCCTTCTTTATTGCTGTGTAATATTCCATCATGTATATGTACCACATTTTAAAAATCCAGTCCACTTTCAATGGGCAGCATGGCTGGCTCCATGTTTTTACTATTGTGAAAAATTCTGCATGTAGGTATCATTTTTATAAAATGACTTGAGTTCCTCCGGGTATATTCCCATAAGAGGGACTGCTGGGTCATATGAAAGGGTAAATTTTTGGTCTTTTAGGAATCACCATGTTTTCCAGAGATTGGACGAGTTTATGCTCCCACCAACAGTGCAAAAGTGTTCCTTTTCCCCTCATCCTCTCCAGCATCTGTTGTTTTTTTAGTTATTTATTGATGATGGCCATTCTGACTGGAGTTAAGTGGTACCTCAGTGTGGATTTAATTTGCATTTCTTTGATGATTAGTGAGGCTGACCAGTTTTTCATGTATCTGTTGGCTGCTCAAATGTCTTCTTTTGAGAGGTGTCTATTCATATCTTTTGCCCACTTTTCAATAGGGCTGCTTTTTTCTTTTCAGCACATTTGGGTTCCTTGTAAATCTGGATGTTAGGCCTTTGTCATATATAGTTGGCAAATATTTTTTTTCCTCCATTCTGTGGGCTGTCTCCCCATTCTCTTGATGGTTTCTTTTGCTTTGCAGAAGCTTTTCAGTTTGATGAGGTCCCACTTGTCTATCTTATCTCTTATGGCATGGACATTTGGGGTTCTGATCATGAATGAATCAGAATTAACTGGCTGTCTATTCCAATTTCTGTAAGGGTGTCTCCTGCATTTTCTAAGGTTCTTATACTTTGAGGTTTTAGGTTTAGGTCTTTGAACCATTAAGAGGTGATTTTTGTGTATGATGATAGGTAGGGGTCCTGTCTCATTCTCCCGCATGTTATCAGCCAGTTTTCCCAGTACCATTTATTGAATAAGTTTTCCTCTCCCCAGTGGTTGTTGATGGAGGCTTTGTCAAAGATGAGTTGGTTGAGAGACTGAAATTTTACTTCTGGAATTCCCATCTTGTTCCATTGATCTATATTTCTATTCTTGTACTAGTACCAGGCTGTTTTGATCACTGTAGCCTTATAATGAAGTTTAAAGTCTGGAAGTGTAACATGTCCTGCTTTGTTTCTTTTGCTGAGGATTGTTTTGGCGATTATGGTTGTATGTTTCCATGTGAATTTCTTTATTCACAGGTCTGAGAAGAATGATGTTGGTAATTTAATGGGTACTGCAGGCTAGGTGTGGTGGCTCATACCTGTAATCCCAGCACTTCGGAAGGCAGAGGCAAGAGGATTGCCTGACCCAAAGGTTCGAGACTAGCCTGGGTAAGTTGGTGAGACCTCATATCTATAACAAATCAAACAATAAGCTGGGCATAGTGGTGCTTGCCTGTAGTTCCAGCTACTTGGAAGGCTGAGGTGGAAGGATCACCTGAGCCCAGCAGGTCAAGGCTGTGGGTGGCTGTGAGCATGCCACTGCACGCCAGCCTGGGTGACAGAGTGAGACTCCAACTCAAAAAAAAAAAAAAAAAAGGGAATTACATTGAATCTGTATATTGCCTTTAGTAGGATGGATATCTTAACACTACATGAGTACAGACTATTTTCCATTTGTTTGTGTCATCTTTGATTTCTCTGAGCAGTGCTTTGTAGTTTTCATTGTAAAGGTCTTTCATGTCCCTGGTTAGGAAGAGGAAGATGCCAGGATATTTTTCTTTTTTTTTTGGCTAGTGAATGGGATTGTGTTTTTTATTTGTTTCTCTGCCTGTTGGTTGTTGGTATATAAGAATGCAACTGTCAGCCAGGCTTGGTGGCTCAGCCTGTAATCCCGCGCCTTGGGAGGCTGAGGTGAGTGGATTGCCTGAGCCCGCGGGTTCGAGGCCCACCTGGCAACTTGGCAAGACCTCATCTCCACAATAAATTAAAAAAAACAAACAAACCAGCCAGGCGTGGTAGCACATGCCTGTAATTCCAGCTACTCAGAAGGCTGAGGCGGAAGGATCACTGAAGCCCAGCGGGTAGAGGCTGCGGTGGCCGGGAGTGGC